TCCCAGCGATGGACCAGTAACTATCTGTCTTGCTTCTAGCAGCCTGAATGTGTGATGAGTTCGAGTAATGTTCTTGTAAGTAAAGAGGTTCCAAGGCCAACTGAGGTGGTGGTATGTTGGTGTTTGCTGCTCCCTCCCTTATACTGTTGTTCTGTCCTTTTGTCTTGACCTGTCCCCGAACTCTGCACGATAGAGCTGTGAAAGTTCTTGTGGGAGAGCCTGTGTATTAATTTTATTTATTTATATATTTTTATATTATTTTAATTATTTATTTATTATTTATTATTTATTTTATTCATTATTTTGTATAACCTTTGAACTTATTAATACTTTCTTGGTGGTGGATTTGAAGTTCTCCCCTCCCCTTCCTTCTTTGTCTTATTGCATTATGTGCTTTTTCCTTAATTGATTATTTCCTTTAACCCTCCCCCCCTTTTTTTTTTTTTTTTTTTTTACTATGTAATATATTTTGAAAGATCATTTTAAGGTGTACCTATATTTGAAGCGTTCAGATTCTTTTTGTGATTGTGTTTTCCGAAGGTTTGCTTGGGCATTCTGAATACTCAGTGATATATATATAGATAGATAGATAGATAGATAGATAGATAGATAGATAGATAGATAGATAGATAGATAGATATTAGATAGATAGATAGATAGATAGATAGATATAGAGTAGATATGTATGTATATATATATATATGTATGTATGTATATATATATGTATGTATGTATATATATACGTTGTATGTATATATATATGTATATGTATATATGTATGTATATGTATTATGTGTATGTATATGTATATATATGTATGTATATGTATATATATGTATGTATATGTATATATATGTATATATATGTAAATGTATATATATGTATGTATATGTATATATATGTATGTATATGTATATATATGTATATATATGTATATATATGTATATGTATATATATGTATATGTATATATATGTATGTATAACTATATGTATGTATATGTATATGTATATATATGAATAAATATATATATAATGTATACGTATATAATATATATATTATATATATATATATATATATATTATATAATATATATATATATATATATATGTATATATCCTTCTTTTCTTCTTCTTAGTATTATTATTCTTTATATCGAGCATATTGAAAAGGAAGTTTTGTATCAATTCTTAGATGTTTAAGATTTCAATATTGTCTTGCTTTCTTTTATTATGTATGTTATTGTTTTTATTTATTTGTAATATTTTATGTGATGATGAATTTTATTACTTTTATTTAATTGCAAGTATGACATATTTCATCATAACATAAGTTACATATATTTCTGCAAGATTTTTGAAATATTTATTTATTTGTTTGGAGTAGAGATGGAATTGCACATTTGTTATATACATAGGTAACTTATTTAGAATTTATAGATGTGTTAATATTTTTAAGCAATATTTATCTTTGGTTAACTTTTTAGGATAAGATGTTAGGCAGAATAGGAGGAGTTATAAGCAAGGAAATAAAAAAGAAGAGAAGAAGAGAGAAGTGATAGGAGGGATGAAGGAAGATGAGTAATGAATTAAAAAAAAAAAAGATATAGAAAGTAAGTAAGTGAAATATAAAGTTGGGTAGATGGCTATTCCTCTTGTAGCTATGTGTGTAGAGGGGTAGACTAGGAGAGAAAGAGAAGAAGAGAGGAAGGGTGAAGGAAGATGGGGAATAGATAAAGGAAGGACAAAGCCAGGAGGATAATGGTAATCAGTGGGTGAGAGGGAAACTAAGGTCGGTAAAAAAAATATAGGTCGTTCTGCCCATAGATGTGTCGTCTTATGAAAGTACATTCCACTCTGTTTCCATGGTCGCTACACGACATTGCCAGTGTGTGGATCGCAAGTTTTAAATCCTGTATCCGGAACCCTTGTCGATTAGAGTAGGATGCTCGAGTTTTAGGTATATTTGTCGAAGCTGGTGGTTCATGCTTGTGTAGAGTTGAGTGGTGACACTCTAGCTGGTAAGATTCCTAGGATTTCATAGTATAGTTATATTATTTTGGTTTCTCATATGTATTACTTTGATTTTTACTGTTTTTTAGATAGTTTGTTGCTGTTGCAATTTATGGTAACATCAGTTCTATCATAAATATTTTCATCATTGTTATTGTAATAGTAGGATTATCATGTGTTTTTATTATTCTGTTGTATATATATATTTGTTTTAAATTTAGGGGCTAAGTTATAAGGTACAAGCATTTTGATCATAGTGAATATGAAAGAAGTGTAAGTATGAATGAGATGAAAAGAAAAGAATGTCTATATTGTTGCTTTTGGCTTTTTTTTTGTTTATTTTTTATCATTTTATTTTGTAGATTTATTTTTTTCATGAAAATTTATTCCTTGATAATTGCTAAAATTAAAAGGCCTTTTTTTGCATGGTAATTTGTTTGTGCATAATACAAGTCCCCTAAAATGGAATGCTATTTGATTGTTTATACATTAGTGAGTTTAACTGCATGAATGATATTAAGTAATGGTTATAACTTTTTCAAGAATAATTTATACAGCTATGGATTTCAGCAGGGAATGATAAAGTATTGCAAACAATGACTAATATTTTTCCGTTTTTTTTTTTTTGCACTTATCCGCCCAGAAGACTAATTCTTAAAAGATTTTGCACATGAGGCACAACTGCCATGCAAGTTATTGATCCATGTTTACTATGATTTTTTTCCTCTTATTTTTGTTTAGATGTTTCATGATCAATTAGTGTTCACAATTTGCTGTCAAGAATAGGTTAAGGTTAATAGTTTATTTTGATCTGCAAGCTAAGAGAGATTAAATAGATGTAAAATGCAATAAAATATGATTTGGAAGTGTGTGAAAATCAGTGGTAACAGCTTTGGCAATCAGAAAGATTCTTTTAAAATGTTGGCTAAAGGTATCAGTAAACCTATCCACACCCAATAGCAAGTTATTTTAGACTCCCCTAAGTGCGGTGGTCTTGTACTCCTCGGTCTCCCCCCCCTCCTTCCCACCTCCTGCCTCATTACTATCTTAGCCATGTGTGATTTCAGCCTCTAATTTGGAGTGCTTTCTTCCAACCTGCAAAACATAATATATGTAAGAACCCACAGGGACACTTCCCTTATACTGAGGAGACAGTTTAATCTCTCAATATATTCCAAATAGGCAAGTTCACATTGTTACCCTTGGAAATTGCGCATTTTTCACAATAGGAACTTTGTTTCAGGTAACTTTTATGAGTTGACTTGATACATGGCAACTAAGCTTGTATTTTTTTTAGAGAAGGAACAAAATAAAGTTAAGCAAAGTTATAGATAATCCCTTGTTGAATCTGATCCTATAGGGAGTTTTATACACATATCACCTTCATGGATGACAAACACCTTAAAGATTGTTGATTCATGGTATTATTCTGTACTGTGGTTATTGTGAAGTGGGGTGTGTAGCAGCATGTATGAAGGATTGAGTCAATTGTCATAGATTTATTTCCAAATTTTCAAATGTGAAATGAACCAGTTTTTTATGGTATTTTATGTATTTATTGTGTCATCCATTTATTTATTTACTATTTCATTGCAATTATTTAATAGGAAGAGGATAAATGAGATCATCTTAGAATATTGTACATTATTCTTTGATATATGATTTAGAAAATACATTTGCCCTGAAAGTAAAGAAAAACATGTTTCTTCTAAAGTCAAATATCTGGAAGTTCATGTTTTTTTGATATAAGTAAAAATAGACAAATTTTGCAATGAATGCTTTTGTATATAATGTCTTTATTAGAATTCCACAATTCTGATGAACTCTGTGATTTTTAAATGTTGATTCTGTATCATGTATCATTCATACCTCTTCTGCACTTGTCACATTGAACTCTGTTTAAGCCCTTGCCTTCCTTGATAATCTTTTTTTAAAGTGATCATGCAATGCCATATTACTTTTTGGTGAATGTATATGGAAAGTAACATTTTCAATATATATGTGTATATATATGATTATATATATTATATAGATATGTTTATATGTATTTATAAGTATAAGTTTATATGTATTTATTGATATGTTTATATGTATTATGATATATGTATAATTATATTTAATTATATATATATATATATATATATATATATATATATATATATATATATATATATATATAATATATATTATATATATATACATATATATATATATATATATATATTATATATATATATATATATATATATATATATATATATATATATTAAACATGTGTATACATTATATATATATATATATATATTATATATATATATATATATTATATATATATATATATATATATATATATTATATATATTTATATATATATATATATATATTATATATATATATATATATATATATATATATATATATATATATATAATATAATATGTTATAATATATATATATATATATATATATATATATATATATATATATATATATATATATATATATATATATATAATTATATATATATATATTATATAATTGTATATATATTTATATGTATATATGCAATTTTTTCTCTTCTTTTCTTTTCTGCTTTCTTTCTTTCTTTCTTTTCTCAAAGAGAAGAAAAAGAGATAACCTGAAAAAAACACTATTGAGGTCAGCATAAGGATGGCAAGTTAATGGAATGCAATGTAACTAGCCTGACATAACTTGTGCTCTGAACTTGTTAGCTAATGGGATCCTTCCAAGGTGACTTGATTTGATTTTCCACAAATGTTCAGTTAACATGGTACAGTTAGGAATGGTGTGCATATACACTCGCTAAATTTCATTGTATTGTTTGGTTCTACTTTTTTTTTAGAAGCACATTCATATAGTTAAATGGACTGAAAATGTTTAATTAAGGGAGGACAATGAACTAAGGTTTCAAGCAAAAAGTATTAGCAGGCACAGTTGCTTGCACAGTTTAATAGTTACATGCTCTCCAGGGTGTGGTGAAAGAGGAAGGCTGTGAGGAAGGCTTGCGGTCACGATGCAAAGGGCTCAGCACCTGCCCCTTGTGTCAGGCACACCAGCACTGCGACTGGGTGGAAAATCAGTGTGTTCCAGCACCCAACAGGACAATAACAACTGCTCTTACAAATGGACCAGCTAGAGAGGCTAATCCCAACCTTGGCTCGGAGAATACTCTACAAACAGTGCAGATAGACAAAGACATGGCCATTGGTACAGAGGCCACATTGCTCTCTCACAAGCCTTGTCAGCCTATCTGTGCACAGAGGACATCATGTACAAATTGCACACAGGTAATGAAACTGATGATGATCATGCACAGTATTTTTTAGGCAGTGCTTATAATGTTTTAGGTGTTTTGTGAGCCCATTCCTTATTCTGTGTTGTCTCTTGTACCTTTTAAGAGTTCTTGCATATGGTGCTTCAACCAGCAGCGGTGTATCGAGAATAATTCCTATTTGGTCAGTTTCCCCTACGGTCAGTGTAGAGAATGGACCACAGATTCCAAGAGGTGCATGGATGTGGAGCCTGGTAAGTGTACATTGTATGTGTTGTCATTTATTTTTTCATATTGCATTTCTTTTTAAAGTATTATACTTGTTTATTTTGTTATCTATTTCTTGAATCACATAGTGTTTTTAAAGTATTATTATCTTTTGTTATTTTCTCTGTTATATTTCTCTCACTTTGCTCCTTCATTGCTGTTCTGTATGTAAAGTAGAGGTTGAAGTTGCAGTTTAGCTCATGTCATATTCACCGCACATGTCCATACCTTTTCCGCTGCAGGAATGAGCCGCTGCAGCATCCACCAGACATGTGAGAAATGCCAAGCAGATGTTGCATGCGGTTGGTGCGATGACGGAAGCGGTACAGGAATTGGCACCTGCATGGAGGGTGGTCAGAGAGGCCCTGTCAACCTGGTTACCAAAGCCAGGCAGTGGAAGAAGTGCCCCAGATCGAACTGGTACTTCACCCAGTGTCCATGTGAGTTTCCCTTGGTGGACTGAGATGCCATTTTTTGTGGGTGTCATCTTAGTTTACTTCATATGTATGCCTTGTATTGTAATATATAAGATGTTTAAAAAAAAAACAAAAAAACATGGTATTCTATGGCTTTTGTTTTTTAGTATGCAATTGTAATGGCCACAGCACTTGTGAGAATCACAGCCAGTGCATCAAGCCTTGTGCCAACAATACTGAGGGATCCCATTGCCAGTACTGTGTAGGGAAATTCTTTGGAAAACCAATTAATGGCGGACTTTGCAAACGTGAGTTTTTTTGGGGGTGAAAGAAAAATGTGGCAGCAAAATTTTAGTTTGGCATGAATGACTGTCAAAATAGGGAAATTTCATATTGATTTTTTATATGTATAATTATATATTTTTTCCTTTCAAATATATACATCATATTCTTTTATTATGAGACATAGATGTAGTTATTGATCATCATTTTTCCCCCTTTTTTTCTTACCAGCTTGTATGTGCAATGAGCATGGTGACACATGCAATCGTGAGACTGGTCGCTGCAATTGTCACACAAAAGGGGTAACTGGTGATCACTGTGACCAATGTGACACTCAAAACAACTATTTTGGTGAACCCCTGAAAGGATCTTGTTTCTGTAAGTGTATTCATAATCAATAAAAGCTCAGTCTTCTAGTATCAAATTGTTTATAAGGAAGAATTGTTTCCTTAGCACTATATGGCTGCAGAATGTTTTTTTTGTTTTTTATTTTTTTTTCAGTTTATCGTTTATTGCTGTCTTGCACAATATTAATGACAAGAACAAAAAGATTATCAGATATTTCTAGGTTGTACATCAATGTTTTTACATGGATCAGTAAATTTGAAGACCTTTTTTTTCTGAGATATGATAAATATATGCTTCCTGTTTCCTGTACAGATGATCTTCACATAGACTATCAGTTTACTTTCAACCTCTCCAAACCTGAGGATCGTCACATACGCCAGATCAACTTTATGAACGTACCAGCAAAGAGTGATGTAGATACTAGCTTCAAAATACAATGTTCGAAGGCAACCAACATCAAGATATCATATAAAAGGAGTAAGTGATTGTCCTGTCTTTGTAGTTTTTCCTTAACTGCTTTGATCCAGGTGATTTGGGTAACACATCATGAAAAAATTTGGCTTGATGGCCGGATGACATGAATATGCTGTCATGGGAAAATCTGGCTGAGGGCCCAAGTGACGCAAACTTGCTGTTGTGAGCATTACAGCTGAAAGCCAGGGTGATGAAAAAGACTCGCCATGAGTGTACAAACTTTTTGGGAGGTGATTAGACTCATGAGGCATTTAGAAAGGGGCTTTTACATTAACCACCTGTTCACCGGTGTTCACCGGTGAGTCCACCTTGAGCTGGGACTGGCTGGAGATGTATTTTAAGTATATCACAGGTAACTTGGGATGAATGGAAACATGAGTGGCACTTGCTGGTTTATTGATGTATTAAAAAGACACTAAAAACACATGAAAAATGGCACAATAAAACTATTGTAAGAAGGCTGAAGGCCAAACATCCAGCCAATTCTGAGGGTCAAGGTGAACGGCCAGAATTGATGGTAAAATGGGGTACATAAGATACCCCACAAAGCTGGTGGTTTGTGATTGGCTGAGTGTAAAAACAGTTGAAAAGCAAAGTGCTCAAAATGAGTATAAAATATGGTGAAAGTTCAAACATGGTAAAAGTTGTAAAAATACTGAAAATTTAATTACAACCAATTGGAAAAGACCAATTGGAGGTATACTGCTCTTAGCAAAGGCTTAAGATAATTAAGATTTAAAGAAATGTAATTAAAATGAATAGGTGGACTTTGGGGTCAACTACAGCATTATTCCCATCAATATTCCGGGCTTCCATGACCGGCCTAGTCTTGTCACTCCACAAAAGGGTTAGCATGCGTCCAGCATATAACCACCCATCAGCCTGGCTGCTCACATAAACCTAATGCCCACATTTTGGGCCTTGTGATTGTCATAAAGCAAGGGTCTAAGAGTCATGTTGGTTCTGTATTTTTTGTTTTGTTTTATTTTATCTGTTTCATCATTATTTCCTTGGCCAGTATTTGTATCTGTATCTTTGTTTTGTTTCTTCCTATCTTATTTTCTTCCTTTTATATGACAATATGTTTTTGTGGCGAGTTCATATCCTTTCTTCAAATCATCATGTATGTAATTCTGTCCCATCCACAGCTAATAGTCACGAAACTTGGATCATACGTAACTTCAATGGTAAAAGAATGGAAAGGAAGTTCAGTTCTTCGGATTACACGTTTGGGTTTCCAGACAACAACAGATTTCACGTCTACGTCTACAACTTCACGACTCCCATAGAGATCATTGTGTCGTTCTCCCAACACCCCAAGCTAAGTCTTGGGGAGTTCTTCTCCCTATTCTCACTGTAAGTGGCTATTGTATGTTTTATTTGGTAAACACTCGGGTGGACAGAGGAGGGGTCGGGAAGGAAGTTGGAGGAAGGGAAAGAGATAATAAGTGGGGAGGGAGAGAGGGAGGTATGGAGGAAAAATGGCACAATAAAACTCTTGTAAGAAGGCTGAAGGCCACACATCCAGCCAGCTCCAAGGGTCAAGGTGGACTGCCTGAATTGATGGTAAAATGGGTTACATAAAATACCCCCCACAAGCTGGTGGTTTGTGATTGGCTGAATATAAAAACAGTCGACTAGCAAAGTGCACAAAATAAATATAAAGCATATTGAAAATTGTAAAAATACTGTAGCTTGAAATACAACCATTTGGAAAAAAATACACAAATAAAAGGTATACTGCTCCCAGCAAAGGATTAAACTAATTAAGATTTAAAGAAATGTAATTTAAATGAACAAGTGGACTTCGGGGTCCACTACAGCATTATTTCCATTGATAAATGAGTGTGAAATGTAGTGTCTGTGAGCCATGACTGGAAGTGCTGGCTCCAGGGAGGGTGACATTTCCATGCTTAGCATCCTATTCCTGGCTGTCATGACCGGCCTAGAGTCTTGTCACTGCACATGAGTGTTTGCTTGCATCCAGCCTATAAGCACCCATCAGACTGGCTGCTCATGTAAACCTAATGCCCATTTTTTGGGCCTTGTGATTGCCATAAAGCAAGGGTATAAGAGTCATGTTGGTTCTGTATTTTTTGTTTTGTTTTGTTTTATTTATCTTTTTCTTCTTCTTTATTTCCTTGGCTTATAGTTCAGTATTTGTATCTGTATTTTTGTTTTGCTTCTTCATATCTTATTTTCTTCCTTTTTATGTAACAATATATTTCTGTGGCGAGTTTAAATTCTCTCTTCTAATCATGTACGTAATCCTGTCCCATCCACAGCTAATAGTCATGAAACCTGGATCATATAAAACTTCACTGGTAAAAGAATCACAAAGAGGTTCAGTTCTTCGGATTACACGTTCGGGTCAGCAGACAACAACACATTTCACGTTTACGTCTACAACTTCATGCCTCCCATAGAGATCAGTGTATCGTTCTCCCAACACCCCTAGCTGGACCTTGTGCAGTTCTCCCTATTCTCACTGTAAGTGGCTATTGTATGTTTTAAAATTGAAAATAAATGGAGACTCAGTGACAGACATCGGCGGACTAGATTTCGGAGTAGCATTCAGACATGTTGTTTTGCCTATTCCTGGTAAGCCCATTTGAAGTGATATAGTGCCCTTATCGTGATGGAATATAGTGGTCAGAAACGGGTTTTTGGACCTTGTGTTAATTTTTGGATCAAGTAGTCTTGAGATTATTTTTAGATTTGTCTGTGACTATATAATGGAATAGGCAATAGATTTGAGTTTCATGTTGAAGTAGTATATTAAGTAAACTTTTGAAGTTAAGAATTGTTTAATGGATTAAATATAAGATTTGATTTTCAAGTTTAAGTTGGTCTTTTAAGTAAAAAGTATATAATGGACTAGTATAAGATTAGAGTTTTAAGTTTGAGAATATATTAAGTTATAAATAAGGAGCTAACAATTACCTTTGAGAAATCTCAAGTCTACACTGGAGAGTAAGAGTAATTTTGTGTTTGGATAACTGTGGTTATCCTCCAAGTATATATTAGTTCAGTATTTCTTTGATTAAGTTTTTGCTTTGACTTAGTAATTGCTTGATGATATTAATTTAGTGCCATATTTGCTTGCTTAGTATATGGTCTTTAATATGATAAATTTCTGGATATTTTCTTGATATGTATTAATTTACTTTTTAATGGAGATGATCTTAACCTTAATTTAGTAAAGACATTAATGTAGTATTTTAATTATTTGAGTTGAGTATTGTATATAATTTCATTAGAGATAATTGTTTTAATTTTCTTATTGTGGGTATTAAAATTGCCTGTTCTGATTTTATAGCTGATAACATTTTGCTTTCAGTGAATTTATATTTTATTTTCATGTTTGTCTTAATTGGAAAATTGTAGAAATGTTGCATATTCAGATTGGTGCAGTGATTGTATATGATAATGAAGAAACTAAATGTTTTTTTGATTGGCATATTAATTTGTATGATTGGTGTTGCATATTGGCTACTTTGAATCGCTTAATAAATAATGTATGAATTTTTTAAAGATTGTTAACTTTTCCTCACACTTATCTCAACTGAATAATACAAGTTTATTGAGTTAAATCTGTGAGAATAATGTGACTAATATGTAATATGAGAATATATCGGATACTGAAAAGAAAATGCCATAAGAGGGCTACATTTTTTTCTTTGTTTATTTATTATCATTTTCATTTTTTTAATAAGTTGTAGCAGGCGAGAATTAATTATCTTTTCGTCATGCAAAAATAAAAAAGTTTTTTGCTTTACCTTTTATTTTTCATATATTTTTTTTTTATAAAAATTCCCTGCTTTCTCCTCCCATTTTGACTTCAACTCCATTATCTTTTTTTGAAGATAATTCCTTTCTTTTTCTCTTTTATTTATGACGTCAACTCCAGGTAACCTGACGTTAATTCTTTATATGGCCTCGTGACGTAACGTGTACTACAATAAATCATAGATGTGTTGATATAACAGACAGAGGTCCATATATAACGTCCACGGATGAGACACCCTGCAGTTAGCCAGAAAACAGACTGACACACCGGGGGGACACCCGGCGGTGGTCTTAACCCAGCGTGAGTGGGTTAAGAAAGAAGAAAGTGTAAAAAGTGTGAAGAACATAATAATAAAAACAGAAGCCACCCGGTTGCAGTCCGTTTTCCCCTGTTATGCATTTATTTGTGTATATATTTGTTTTCATATGTGTGCGTGTGGGCCATGTGCTTATGAGAAGTCAATCAATAGTCCGCCAAATTTTTCCTGTTTCAGTACAGGACGTCAAAACAAGACATCATTCTGCATTGTTTCGCTTTCGCTAAAACAGCTAATTTTAGAGAAAAATATTTGCGAGAAGTATTGCGTGAAACAGCAGTCTAGTAGAGAATATGGTCTCCAATCAGATGGCTCGACACCCACCTTTCCCGATGTAAGAACTGCGATAACGAGTGACTCTTCACTGATAGGGGAATCTTCAGTGCTCATGATCTAAATCAGTCTTTCGCAACCCAGGGGTCGCCAAGAGCTCAAAGTATCACATGTAGTCTTTTCTCAATTTTGAGATATTTTTAGCATATATTTAGTCACATATTGATTAGTAGATAATGGTTAAATTTTGTTTGATTATTACACACTTTAAAATGCGGTCCAAAAAAATCTGAATTCTCACGAAACTCGGAACAAAATGAAATGGAATCGTAATTGTAATTTTGTTTTTATGTTTATTGAATGAAATGATGATGATATTATGATAAACTTAATATAAGCCTATACATCGTAGAACAGACTGGGGTCGAGGTCATATCTGGAGGTGCATGATTGGGTCTCTGCAAAAAAAAATTGACGATGTAAATCGAGTCAAGCCAATTATTTCTTTTCCGTGTTTGAGAATCAGACTGACAATCTCATATAACATTACCATCACCACCCATTATCATTACCATCATCATCGCATCGTCATATAACCATTATCGGTATCGTATCATCACGCAAATATGAACACACATATCCTAATAACTACACCCTCTTACACACATTGGCACACAGCCACACAGACACGCACAGCAATACCCCCCTCCCCTATGGGTATCGTATCATCACGCAAATATGAACACACATACCCTAATAACTACACCCTCTTACACACAGTGACACAAATAGCCACACAGACACACACGCACAGCAATACCCCCCCCCTTCCTCTTACATATTTAGCCACATATAAACATACACAGACACATACGCTTACACAAATGAACACACACATGTTGCATAGATCATTCTCCCAATCTTTAATAATTGTCCCTCGTCACCGTGGCCGAGAGGGTAAGGGCGCCAGATTCTAAACCCGCGATCGCGAGTTCGAATCTGCAAAAGGGCGCCAAAAATTCTCCCTCTGATTGCAACCTCGCCCGGGGCTGAAAGACATGGAAAGCGTCCGGGCACAAATAATTCAAGCCGCCGGTTGCAATCAGTTTTTCCCTATTGTGTATTTTTCCTACTTCACTGTAGGACTTCAGAACACTCCAACCCTCTATTATCTAAAATATACGTATAATGAACTATGTCAATTGTATGTGTAGATTTATGTATGTGAAATGCTATGACCTTTCTTGTATGTTTAAATCAATGTGTATATAAATATTCGTGTACTATGTGAATTCGAACAGGTATTGTAACGAAAATAGGTGAAGAAACACTAAGAAAATTAAGGAAAAAGAACAAACCACTAACTAGAAAAAGAAACGTGTGAAGATGCGAACAAAAGTAGAAAATGAGACAAAAGTGCAATTAAAAATTCGAAAAAGAAGATGAAAACACGACTCTATAGAAAAGTGAGAAAAAGTGAAAGTAGAAAATGAGTCAAAATACGATAAACGTGAGAGATTGAAAAATACACAATAGATGCAGAAAACTACGCTTACGAATCAGAAAATAAAGAAACGTTGAATGTAAGAAAAAGCGAGAGTAGAAAATGCGTCCAAAGTACGACAAAGAAGAAAGTAGAGAGTACGAAGTAAGAAAATAAGGGAAAAAACAAGCTGCCTCAGTTGCAGTCTGTTTTCCCCTACTATGTATTTATGTGCACCTATGTATGTTATTTTTCTTGTGTTGCAATCATTTTCCCCTTCTCTCTCTCTCTCTCTCTCTCTCTCTCTCTCTCTCTCTCTCTCTCTGTGTGTGTGTGTGTGTGTGTGTGTGTGTGTGTGTGTGTGTGTGTGTGTGTGTGTGTGTGTGTGTGTGTGTGTGTGTGTGTGTGTTTTGTGTGTGTGTGTCTGCCTTTGTACTCATTGTGAAAGAAAAATTGCGAAATAAATAAAAAAAAGTGCACAAACAAAACAGAAAATAAAAAGATAATTATAATCATGCTGTAATACTGCGACATAAAATAATAAAAAAACGAAAAAAAAACAAAAACGACCGGGGCTGAAAGACATGAAAAGCGTCCGTGCACAATTACAAGTCGCCCGCCGGCTGCAGTCAGTTTTTCCATATTGCGTATTTTTATGTGTGTGAAGGCCATGTACAACTTATGATAGGTTAATGAAAATTTCACCCTCTCCTATTTCAGTGCAGGACGTCAAAACAAGTCATATCTTTCTTTTGTGAAATATATGTATGTTCCAATGGATTGTTTAATTTTATATGTGAAATTGTACCTTCTTTCAATTGAAGAAGATGAACAACCCCCCCAAAATAATGAAAAATGGAAGTAGAAAAGCCGTCAAAAGGGCGGTAAATTCAAAAGAGAAAAATTAAGAGAAACGTATTAATAATTAGAAAAAGGCGAGAGGAAAAAAGCAAGTAGAACATGCGTCAAAATGCGAAAAATATGCGAAAGAAAGAAAATTTGTGAAACAAAAAATGCAGAAAATTGCGCCAACAAAACAGAAAATTAAGCAAAGTGAAAATAAAGAAACGTGAAAATGAGAAAAAGCGAACGTAGAAAGTGAGTCCAAAGTAAAATAAGAATACGAATTAAGAAAAGCAATACGGGAAAGAAAAAATGCGAAATTGATCCAGAAAAGGGAGTACAGAAACTTGCGATACAGTAAACGATCAAAAAAGGAAAAATTATAACAAATAAGAAAGTTTAAAAAGTACGAATAGCATAATAATAATCAAAACAAAAGCCGTTTTCCCCTGCTATACATTTTTTTTATGTTTATGCATTTGTTTTACATGTGTGCGTGTGAGCCACAAGTAACTCATGATAGGTCAGTCAATATTTCACCATATTTTCCATTTAAAAACAAGTCCTCATTCTGTTTTGTTCGGCTTTCACCAAAACAGCTTATTTTGGCGAGAAATATTTGCGAGGATTATTGTCTGGTTTGGCACCCTGTGATTTGTGGATTTGTCTGCACTAACATAAGCATGAGGAGGCAAACCAGTGTTTGGAAGTCTTTCATTTAAAAATTCCCGTTTCTTTGACAATGAAGTGGCATGCTACCTCTATCATTTCTGGGAATAAAACTCTTCAATGACCAAAATCACCAACATCATCACCTGCTTGATGGAGTTCTGCAATTCGTGTTTCATAGTGCTCTGCAGCACATTTTGATGGCACAATGCCGAATGCTGTTCTTAGTTGAATACGTATGGCAATGTACTGTCGACTTCTGATTTTCTTTAAAAAACTGGACAGAGTTTTGATGTGTTTTTGATGAGCCTTCCATGTGTTTAATAACTCTATGCTTGAGCCTTCGCCACTCAGAACAACCCCCAGCCGTATAGTTTTCAATTGAAAAGCAAATACTTGTATTCCAGTGGCAAGTGAGCTTGAGGATGGCTTATACTGTATACTTGATGAAGCAATTGGATTGCTCAAATAGAGATGTCAATATGCCAATCTTACTACCCATGCATCATTTTCGCCAGTAAGTTCAAGATCTGGCTCCATTTTTTAAAAGTTCATCCAAATTTCTTGCAGCTGTTGATATACGCTCCTCCCTTACATTTTCATCTTTTCTTTCTGGCTTTGCTTGAAAAGTGCTTATTTTTCAGAGATTTTGGTGGCATTAATGTCAATGATGGCTTGATTCTCTTCAACAGCTTTTGAAATGAAGAAAAAAGTTCAATAGACAATTAATTGGGACTACTGGCAGTTAGGGCTGTTGATGATGAGCATGGGACAGCTGACTTTGGTGGAGGAAGTGGTGATGAAGGGCTTATAGGATGCATTGTTGAACAATCAGTTTCTTCAGAGATATTTTCTTTTTCATTCTGTTCATTCTCTGCCTTTCCTAGTTTACTCCTCTTTGTATGTAAAGTTTCAACTGTCTTCCTGAAGTGTATATGCATACAGTAAATATCTAAGAATTACATTATGAAAGTTCTGTTTTCCACAAAATATATACATAACTTAGATGTAACCCAAGTTATTTTAACATGCAAAAAACAAACATAAATAATAATTAGAACTTTCAGTGAATTGGGATAAGAATCAAACAAATTTACAATAACTGTAGCACCCTTGATAACATCAATAACA